ATTTTGTACGTTTACTAACAATATCCCTCCACTTCGAATGCACCATTCTTTGACTTGAGAATAGTACTCATATCTCCCTTAATGCCCAATGAAATATGCCAATTCTAGAGACATCATTTGTATAAATCAGCTTCTGCATCCTCTTCTCTGCCTTAGCCATTGATGCTGCCCACAGCCAAAGACACGGACCACCCCCCACCCCATCCCTTCTCCCCATCCCCTACTCCCACTCCCACCCCTGCCCCAACCACAGAGGATAGAAAATCCCAAAAGGGTCCAGAAGAACTCACGCAACCAGCAAGTGGAATCAGTCCTCACAGGCCGACAGGCGCACCACTGTTCCCTTCTGTTCTGGTCTTTCTTTGTGCCTGTTCATTTAGTCATGGGACATCCTTTCAAGTTAGATAAGGTAGTGATAGCCTGAAGGAAGTATTGGTAAGGACACCGAGCGCAGATCTTGTCGCCTGTGGAAGGCCTGTGTGAGGTGGGGCAAGGATGGGGACAGGGGAGGGGGGACTCAGCACCCTCTGTTCTAGCCAAGGGTTCACAATTACTCTTTTACTCCTTCTCTTCCATCCTGGGATCTAAGCATTCAGGACTTTCTAACTCAGACAGCAGGAAAATAGGATACTAGTAAATAAAGGTTAGGATACTCAGATTGACTGTAGATGCTAATTGCACCTCATTCTTATACATTAAAGTTTACAAACTGGGTATGGTGGCACACTCTGGGAGGCTGAAGCAGGAGGAGGGCAAATTTGAATCCAGCCTCAGCACTTTAACAAAATTCTTTCTCAAAACAAAAATTAATAAAGATGTAGCCAAGGCGTGGTGGCGCACACCTGTAATCCCAGTATGGGGGAGGCTGATGAAGGAGGATCACTGAATTCATGGCCAGCCTGGGTTACATGGTGAATTCAAGGTCAGCCTGAACTACACAGTGACACCCTGTCTCAAAAATAAATAAATTAAATTAAATAATAATAACAATAATAAAAAGAAAAAAAAACCTGGCCCTTTTGCAAAGACAAGAGAATTAACACAGCTTGACTGTAGGATTTATTGGAGGAATCATTATCCTTAAGGCAACAAAGGACATAATCCAAGTCTATACTTTGTACTTTTCACCTTGGGATAAGTTTTCAAAGCCCACTGGAAGCAACCTTTGAGCAGACATTCTTGCAGTTTTCAGTAATAAATGCTAAGTTGGTGTGCCATAGTTCATAGCTGGTGTGACGTCCGGTAACATCAGCCTTTGCCTAGTTGGGAAGCAGTAAATACAGTGATGCCTCAGTTGCCGAACTTAATTTGTTCCATGATTCTGGAAAAGACAGCCATGTTTGTGCCTGTATGGGAAAGAGGGCTGTGGTAGTATTTGTCACCTGATGCAGAGTTTGCAAACAAAATCAAAATTTTGCCAAACACTTCTATTTGCAAACAAAATGGTTAGTGACCCAAGGCAGTGCTGTGCTAAAATAGTATGTGTTTATTTACATTTGAGAGTCCTTCCCAGGCTGTGCTTCCACTTTTAAGTTATATGAATGAGGGGATTTAGCTCAGTGGTTCTGCTGCCTGCCTCGCAAGCACAAGGACCTGAGTTCAATCCCTGGTATAAATAATAAATAAATAAATAAATAGTTATATGAATAAGTATGATTAAAACCTATCCTCAATCTCAATGTCCTAACATTTACTTATACTTATTTTATTTTATTTTGAAACAGGGTCTCACTATGTAGGCCAGGCTGGCCTTGACCTCTTGGTGATCCCCCTGCTTTAGTCTCCCAAGTGCTGGGATTATAGGCATGTGCCACCGTGCCGGCTTTACTTATGCTTATTTATTCTATTTTCCTGCCTTCTGATTTAAAAAAAAAAAAACTCAAATGCTTGGACTCCAGGACAGAGAAGGATGAAATCTGAAAATAAGTTTTCCCACCCTTTCTCTTTCTCTCAGACACGGTCTCACTACATCAGCTGCAGCTGAGGCTGGCACTGAACTCCCATTCTTCCACTGCAGTTGTACAAATGCTAGGATTATAATCATGTGCCACCACATCTGTCTTGCAATAAGTACTCTTTCAGCTATTAATTCATTTAATTCAATACACTCACTTTAAGCACAGCTATACCCAAGCCCTGTTCTAGGTGCTTCACATACAAAGATATAATAGGGTTCTTGCCTTTTTGTGTTTTGTTTTACTTTTTTGGGGGGTACTGGGGATCGAACTCAGGACCTTGTGCTTACAAGGCAGGCGGTAGAACTACTGAGCTAAATTCCCAGCTCCCCTTGTTTTACTTTTTGAGACACAGTCTCACTATTCTAGGGTGGCCTTGAATTCATAGCTTAGGCCATGAACTCCCAGCAATTCTCCTGCCTCAGCCTCAGGAGTGCTAGGGTTACAGGCATTCACCAACATGCCCAGATAGGGTCACGAGGTAGTACAGTACATGGAACAAGCAGACATGGGCCAGGGATTTAGCTCAGTGGTGCTGACACCTGCCTTATAAGCACAAAGACCTGAGTTTGATTCCCGGTACCAAAAGAAAAAAAAAAAAGGAACAAGAAGACACATAACTGGGTAATTACAAATGTGAGTGCAGTAACTGATATACAGAATATTAAGGGATTGCCAAAGAGAGGTGCTTCACCTATCTTAGAGGGGTCAAAGGGCCTACATGTATTAAGGAAGATCTATAACTCAGTTAGCTAAATTGTGTCCAACAGAGGGTGTTCAGACTTTTTCTATTAGATAACTTTTTAATTTGGGGATAAAACATCCAGAAATGCTAAAGTAAAAATATCTATTAATTTTGGCTGATTCATATAGAAGGAGAAAAGGGTCTAACATCATAAATGAGATCAAGGTTGTAAGAATAACAGCTAGAGGTTGTAGTGTACATAATCAAATTCTTTCCTTTTTATGATTTATTTCCCCACCTATAACATAGAAAAGAAATATAAGAACTGAAATCCCTGTAAGTGGAGGTTTGTAAACTCTTTTCTTCTCACTTGAGAATAAATAAAGATATCATCACCAGATTAGAGGAAGATTAGTGCTGTTTGAGGTTAAAATTAAAAAACAAAAACTTAACTAGATTTGCAACTACTTGCCCTCATATAAAATTATACTATGAAGAAAAAGTCAAAGTTTCCTACCTTTGAGGTTTCCTAAAATAAGGATGGTAAGGGTCTCCATAATTTTGAACCTCTAAAAAATTCATGGATGAGGGTGTATACCTCAGTGGTAGAACTCTGGCTATGCATGCACAGGGCCCTGGGTTTAATTCCCAGCACTGCAGAACAATTTTTTTTTTTGTACTGGGGATCGAACTCAGGACCTTGCGCTTTCGAGGCAGGTGGTGAAACCACTGAGCTAAATCCCAGATCCACAAAATAATTTTTTTAGTAAAATAAAAATTCAAGAAAAAAATTATTTTTATTTTATTTATTTATTTTTTTGTGGTACCAGGAAAAAAGCCTTTTTTTTTTTTTTTTTTTAATAATGGAAACAAAAAACACCTAACACCGAAGCTTCTGGAAAAACCACTTGTTCTCACCTGTCTTTTACCTCTACTCAAACTTGACCTCGGCCTCCTGGTGGACCTTGCACTTCAGGGCCAGGTCTCTGAAAATGTCCTTGGATGTCCACAGTGTACCGCGTGGTGATTGTAGTTATAAACCTTCACGAAAGACTTGATCTTTGACCTCTTGGTGATTTTCTTCTTGCCTATGGCAGCTGTCACTTAGTGGGGACAGCAACCAGGGCATGGCTGTAGAGGTGGTGGGAGGTGACATCATCCGGAGTAGCACTGGGCCAGGACCAGCACTACCTTCCCGGGTTTCGTGAACTTGCCCATTTCGACAGCATCAAAAGCAGGGCCTACAGTGGAAAGAAGAAAATTCATTCATAACCAACCTGTGTGGTTGCTTCAATTTTATAGCTGAGATAACAAAGAAGTTTTAAACTTGCCCAAGATCATACAACTAGTAAATAGAAGATCTGGTATTTGATCCATTGGCTGCCTAAGTACAGCACTTATCCTGTCCAAATAGAAACCTTTTGTGGGCCCATTCCCTGGGCTCAATTCCTCTGGTGTTCTGGGGCAGTTACCCCGGCAGGAGTGAGCTGGAATACACAACTGGTAGAGGGAGGGGCTGGGCCCAGGTAAATACACTTGGAAATCACATTTCCGTGTCATGGAGGCTGCTGAAAGTGTCTTCATCATTCTTAAGAATATTTTATGATATAAGGGATTAAGATAAAACAGGGTTAAATTAAATATATAAATTTATGAAATTTGATAGAGGAAAATAGAAGAGTAAATATATGAAAATAACAGTACTGTGCATGATATCAGTTTATATATTCTTTAATACTATGGTATTTTTCATATGCATGTGTGGTACACATGCTAAGACTATAATTCTTAGAGTGTATTTAAAGGGAGGGATAAACAAATACTTTAACAAATTTGAGCAAATACATTAGTCTATGGGTGATGAGAAATGATGTAAAAATCAAACTAACACAATGTAGGTGATTTAACTTTGATCTATTACATTTGGAGATATTGGTTGTTGTATTTAGAAGCATATAAAATGACATTAGAGAGCAGAGAAAGGGGACGTCTCTTATAACTGAATAGGAGCGTGGTTTCCCATGCTAAAAAGAATAGATAGCAATTTTATAAAGGACTGATGTAAGTGGTTAGTTTCCTTAACTAGTCATTACAGCTAGCAGGTTTTCTCTGCAGAAGTAAATATGTCTATGAATACCAGCTACTGCTTGTGGATTGGGTATATGCATTCTCTGCCTGCATCTAATCCTTGGGTAACGATATACCTAAACTGTAATCCTAGAGCAGTTACATGGATGCACTAAGTGGTGTGATCGGAGGGAAAGATAGCATCACAAGGATTCGTTTGATTATAACAGTAATCCACACCAAGTCAAATAAAATAGCCAAACAGTTAAAAATAGGGTCTCTAATGAGTTTGCTAATTCTAGCAGGTCCTCACAAACATTTCCTGACAGACGACCCTGTATCAAACCAAGTGGCTGTGCTTTAATTACACGGAATAATTATTTGATTTCCAGGAAGTTAAAACAGTGCTTTGTTATTAAATAAAAAGTTCTAGATATGCTGTGAAACTCGATCAAACAAAGAAAAAGGGCGAAACCCAATGCCTGCTCAATGATTCAAGAATTCGGCTGCTGAGCAAGCCTGATGATAGCTCAGGACCCCAGGAAAGGGGTATTTTAACTCTGGCCAGCTGGATCGTATGGCTTTCCTACAGAAGCCCTGCCTTTCCAGAGAACTAAAGTGAAATGCAGCCATAAACTGGTGAGGGGCTCAAAACTGGGCAGCCTTCGCCCCTCTGCACCAGCAGAGACCCCAGTTTTCGGGGGACAGGGTCTCATGTTGTGGCCCGCAGTTCTGAAGGTCTATTAAAAGCCAGGGGCCTTTTATCTCAACGGCTTTGGGCATGAGTATGGGGTAGGAAGGGGGGGGAGGCCTGTGGGTGTCCCTTTTGCCTGAGGAGTTGGAGACACTTGTGGAAAAGTCAGGCCCTTTTCGCTCCGGCGGCCGCTCCGGTATGGGGCTGGCTTGGGTTAGACACATGCACACATACACCATAGAGCTCTGCTTTCCCGTAGCAGCTGCTGCCTCTGCCTCTGCCTCTCCCGCCTCAGCCTCTTTGCCCGGCATACACACACATTCAGATTTGCGCGCTGTTTCAATCCTTGATGACGTGTCCCCGGAGACAGCCAATAGCAAGCGGGCTCTGGTCAGGACAATGGGAGGTATCGGGCCAATGAGCAAGCCCCGTGAGTTGGCGGTAGCCAATAGGAGCCGCGCTGGCTGGAGAGTAATGTTACAGAGCGGAGAGAGTGAGGAGGCTGCGTCTGGCTCCCGCTCTCACAGCCATTGCAGTACATTGAGCTCCATAGAGACAGCGCCGAGGCAAGTGAGAGCCGGACGGGTACTGGGTGACTCTGTGCCTCGCTGAGGGTGAGTCTGGGGCAACGCCGCGGCGGGGAGAACGCCTTCTGCAGCTCCCCAGCCCGCGCGGCAGCCGGATCCCC